CTAGGAACAAGTGCCTTACTACTAGTAACAAGAAGCTAGTAGTAACAGGTGCCACGCTACTAGGAACAAGTGCCTTACTACTAGTAACAAGTTACGAATTTAATAAAGAGGGAACTGGGGATTGGAGTTCATTTGCTCAGCCGTGTGCTGTGCATAGCATTCAAAGTTTGTAGATTGAGGAGTCCTTTTGCGGTTTTTAGCCACCTCTGTGATCCACAACAAATCGCACCGAACTCTGGACAAAACTCACATTCTGACTATCAGTTTCTTTCCGATACCTCTTTCCATGTGCATCTCCGTGTCTCAAAATCGCTTTCCCCTTGCTTCTCTCTCAGCATTTCTCAGAATGGCTAGTAGATGTTGCTGTCATATTCGTTGAACCTGCTGATGACCTCGTGCAACCTTTCGCCACCCCTGTGCTCTCAAATCGCTCATATTTTGCGAATGCTTGCAAAAGTGGCAGTCTTCTGGTTCCTTCTTGAGGCGATTTGTGATAAACAAGACAGTGCTGTAGCACTGCGACGAATGGTGAGCAGCTGCTCCTCCTTCCACTCCTTCCTGATACGTTGTGCGCCTCGGGAAAAAGGCGAGCGACTAGTGACTCTAGTGACTCTAGTGGCTAAGCCAAGGGCCTGCAGCATTGATAGATTGAGCCTATCGGCCTATTGCGAGTAAAACCTAAACGAAAGGCGAGATGAACATGATAAGAAACTATAAGGAATAAGGTAAGGCCTTTTGTTACTTCAAACAAACTTCCCAAGCCAAGTAGGTTTGGATCCTTTGGAGTGACTCGCAAGATGAGCTTTGCGAGGCATGCTGAATTCCATGGCGGAACCCTTTGTTTGCCGCAAACAAAGGAGTTGAGTCAAACGGAATCAGAGTCGTGTCAACATATATTTCGTGCTTCCGTTCGACTCTTTCTTCTATGGAAATTCACAGGACCTGGCTTTGGAGGGTCCAACCTCTGAATGTCAGCGCCGTGAGCCAACGCTTTCTCAGCGCGGGAAAAATCAGCGAAGCAAAGCTATGTCTTTTACCTACGATGCGTACGTATGTAAGGCTCACAAAGTATTGAGGCTATTAGGTTGGAGGCCATCGCTAGTAGGTTGGAGGCCATTGCTATTAGATGCTATTAGGTTGACTCACAAAGTATTGAGTAGCAAAGGAGAGAATTTTGTCAGGCCACCGAGCGGACCAATCATGCTCCATCATAGAGACTACCGTGATGCCGACTGCATTGGAAAAGAATTGTTCCTTGTGAGGGGCTTCGAAACAGTTCCAAGTACATTGGTTCTGAAACGTTGGATTTTGGTCTTTTTCCTGTGAAGACACCAGGTTAGTGAAAGCCGACTGCAAGAGGTCCGGGCTCCAGAACTATCAGTCTCGTCTCTCAACACTTTGAGCTTCCCCACGGATTGAAGGACTTTTGGGATTGAGATTTCAGAATTGAAGGCTTTGTTGACAATTTTGGGGTGTTGCTTTGATTCTCCAGGGGATGTGGCTGAGGCATTGCATCGAGAGGCCTCCAAGGCAGCGACCAAGATTTTGAACGCAGCTGAGGCCTGTTCTGTTTCTTTTGCGTTGTCAACTTGTAGGTTGGAGGCCATCGCTAGTAGGCCATCGCTAGTATGCTGGAGGCCATAGGTTTGAAGCAAAGCAACGGCCGTTTGCGATCCTTTGAGGTCCTTGTTGACTCAGCTGAGTCATGGGCTCGGCCGTAGCAGTTTTCTTTCCAGTTTGTATGCTTTCTTGGTGAGAACCAGGATCGAGCCCACGGAGCAGCTTGAAAAGGATCGATCAAGGACCCTCTGCACACTTGCTATTAGGTTGGAGGCCTTTGGCGACCTACTGGCAATAGCATTGTCATGCAAATTGACCTTGATTGGGATCGGCCAGGGCAAGGTGGATGCAAGCAGCCAAAGAGGCCAACCCAAGACCAATCTGACTGATGTAAACTTTTAGCAATAGTGAACAATTTGTGCAAATGAAGAAGTTGCAAGTAGGGCATGTCCGCAAGTTTTTGCCAAGCTCTTCTTGTCCATGACCTGTTGACAGCTTCCGCCAGGCTTCGCTGCTTGTTGGTTTGCAGGCACCCTCACAAGCCAAACAAAGAGGGGGAAGGCAGATTTGGGAGACTGCAGGCGCCACTGGCACTCCTTTCTCCATGGAGCAGCCTGGTGCCTCCACTTGGAGGGAGGACGTAGAAAGGAACTCTTTCAACAAACGTCACAGAACGTTGCGTTCGGGCAGAGAATCCGTTCGTGTCTTATCGCTCTCAGGGCGTTACTGCTGCCGCTGTTCCGCCAGCACTGCTGGCGAAATTTCCAAGTCTTTGACCTCGGTTGCCTACTCCTCATGTGCCAGATGCCGATGCCTGCCTCCATGCTGCCTCCTGGGTTGCAAGAGGAGCTATCCTTTGATTTTTTCTTCACGCTCTCAACCAAGCAGCTTAATGGTAGGGTTCTTGTCGATTCGGCAAAGTCTGGACCAAGTAAAAACATAGTGAGACCGTTGATTGGTCCTTTTGTTAAGTGAAGTGAAGTGTGAAGTTGTCAGGAAGAACCCTTTGCTGCACTCATTTTCCCTGGCTTTGACTCTGGGGCCTTCATTTGGCAAATCACCTGCTGGCAGGCAGAGTACTGAGATTTGAAGATGTTTGGTTTGGACAATGTTTTATATTTCTTTACATACTCCATTGAAGCCTTTCTTCTTATTCTGCCGCAGCCATGTTTAGATCGAAGAACAGTCTTGGACGCAACTAGATGGTGCATCATCGGTTGAGATTGTTCCAAAAGCAATGATAGGCATGATAGGGTCTTTCCGAATGACATCTATCCTGAATCAGGATGAATCGTAGTGATTCATCAAACCTCTTGACTTTCTGAAGTCACGGACTCAATGGACTTGATGGACTCGATGGACTCCCACTCCTAGCTCAACAAGAGTCCCAGCTGTGCTGCTTGGGCAGTGTTAAGCTGTTATTGAAGGCCATCGCTATTAGGTTGGAGGCCATTGGTTGTAGTGTTCTGTGCACTTCGAGACAGATCGCAACTGTGGCCGAAACCTGAATAGAGCCGCGCAGCAACTGCGTGAGGTGAGAAAACTCCATGGGCCCAGTTCACTCCGCGTACAACTATGTCTTCCCGTCGGCCTCATGGTCAGGCCGTCCCCAGTCTGTAGCTTGACCCGAAGCATTGGCTGAGGCCCGATCCAGTGGAGATTTATGCCTGCAACCAAGATCTCATTAAGCATATGAAAGCCAACACGGAGTAGAAGCTATTCACAAAAGGAGCCTGCTAAGCCTTGAGAAGAATCTTGACTGAGAACCCGGGGCTCGAAGATCGCATCAGCCACGCCAACGATGCTGTATGGGACTGAATTGTGAACATGACAAATGTTTGAAGCTCACAGAACTTGGAGGCCATCGCTAGTAGGTTGGAGGCCATTGCACAGAACTTCAAATCTGACATTTTGGTGATTTGGTGACATGAGCAGGTGGAAAGCGCTTTCCAAGACATGTCCCAGACCTTTGCTCTTTGGAGAAGTTCTGGCTTTGTTTGTCTTTTTTGAAGCCCGCTCTCCTCCTTAATTATAAGTAGAGACTGCCCACTCAATCCAATAAGCGACAAACTTGTTCGCTCCTAGCTACTCAGACGCTACTACATTTGGACGCAGGATAGCTCGCGCTTTTTCAAGGGAGCTCACCCCGCCTGAGGGGGGAGCTTCCTTGAAGAAGTGCTCGCACTATTGATTTGGTTCCTAGATTTTTAGGGAGACTTAACTTCTAGAAGCTTGTAAAACTTTAGCCCGAGGCTCAAATGAAGTCTGTCATGCAGAAAACCCAGACGGACTGGGAAAAGCCACAGACCCAAGTGGACATTCTGAGTTGCAAATCAAAAAGAGTGTGTCGTAGAGGGTAAGCCTAAGCCCATTCTGCGTTTCAACGGAAGAGAAGTTTGGAAGCTTTTGGACGGCCAAGGTACTCGACGCCCTTGTCAAACTCGTCAGAGCCAGAAGTGCCTTTGCATTTTCACAGCCCTTCTGAGCCATGACATTCTCAAGGTGCCAAGACATTCGCAAGGAGCTGGTCCGATTAGCCCATGGCAGCCTGATCCTCAGATTTCTGTCCCTGCACCAAACCGCCTGATCCTGAGCTGCTTTTTTGCTTCAGGTCCACAATGTCTTGATGCGCAGGACCAAACATTGATGTTGCACCACAAACCTCAGAGGTTGTTAGAATAATAAGTATGAATAAGTTCAGGAGCGCATTCTGCCTTTGCTCTTTAAGTCATCTCCCCAGTTGACAGAGTACTCTTCGAAGAAGTCAATTCTTTGTTGGCATGCCTAGGAAGCGTGCAAAGACCGGTGAGGAAATCAAGGGCTGTCTGAGCCTTGCGCGTTGAGAGAGAGAGAGAGAGAGAGTGCCTCTGGCGGCGACCCTTTGTGTAAGGTGCTCGCGGTGACCTGCCGTTCGCAATGGTGTCAGGGCCGAAGAGTAAACACATCGCTAGTGGCATCCTTGCTCCTAGTAGCGATGCCAGGAGCCCCTAGTAGCTTCTTGTTCCTAGTAGTACGGCTAGTAGTACGGTCAGGAGCTAGCGTCCTTGCTAATTAAAGAGAGTCCCATCGCTAGAAGAGTGCAATTCCTTTGTGCCCTGAGAATTACACACCAAAGGCCTTCGACCTGCCAATGTATTGCAGGGAACGAGGCAGAGCTTAAGAGTCTACCACGCCATTGGCTTTAAACTTCAGACCTCTCGCTGAACTGATTCTCTTGTAGCAATCATAGGCAAGTTGAATGTATTTGTCTTGCGCTTGATTCTTTTCGAGCAACTTGGTCTTTGACGCTGCAGACAAGAGTTCTTCACTGACCTTTGCATCATTCTGCAACATTCATGTGAGTATGGTTGAAAACAAGCAAACTAGTAACAAGTGCCACGCTAGTAGTAACAGGTGCCTTACCAGTAGTAACAAGAAGCTACTAGGAACAAGTGCCTTACTACTAGTAACAATAAGAATTAAATTAAAATTAATAGCTTTTTGTTACTACTAGTAAGGCACTTGTTACTACTAGCGATGCACTTGTAATTACTAGCAAAGGAAAACAAGCAACATGATGTGACCTCAGCGGACAGCTACACAGTACTCCATTGGAGTCGGGTGTTAACATGCCATGGCTTCTGCGACTAGACCTCAGAGGTTTCAAGGTCTTTGCCTCCCTAGGCGTTCAGGACTACCAGGTGGAGAGATCAGTCAGAAGAGTTTTGTCATCGACACGTTCCTATTGGAGTCACAGACCTCACACGCTCATTGACAAAAAGCTACCAGGGCACTGCGTCGTAACCGGACCTTTCCAAGGCGGATGTGAATTCGCCCATGGTCACAAAAGTGCTGCTTGCACAGACTGGAGAGGGGATGCAGACAGCAAGCATGCAGCTCTTCTGCAA